GGCATGCCTGTTTTTATATCCGTGCTTGGCGCACGAACTTTTACCCGTTTGTTCGCTGCTGAATGTCCATGAGGTTGACCGCTGGGGGGCTTGTGCTACCTTTGTCCCCTTTACGGCTGTCGTAATTTTTGGCAAGTCAGTGCGCTTACTGACCTGTCCCTCGTCCACCGACGGACTAATCACTTGTTGCTACCCGCATGAGTTCATATAAACCTTGTTTGCGCGGTAGCGGTGAGGTAGCGTTGGACGCTGGTCACGTGGTCCCTGGCCGACCCCTCTCCTATCTTCCTTTTGATCTCCGTTGTACTCTACGCTTGTGTCTGCTTCGCCGTCCTATTGACCTTGTTCGAACTGAGTCGAGCCGTTTGCGTACCGCCTGGCAGGCAGGATGAAGGTCTATGGAATTAAAAAGGGCAGTCAACACCAATGATGAAGGTGTACTAGTTAAGTAGCCATTTTTTACAGCACATATTTTTTTAGCGGTCAGAAAGGAACTCGTTAAGAAGAAAGCGTCCTATGATGAATAAAATGACTTTAGAATAGACTACGTTGTAATCAATATTAAAGGCTTACTTAATGCCGGGTAGCGACCGAGTATCAATCTTTCGCAAATGTCGGCATGTTGCACGAATTCTGAGCCATATTGTATATGTACCGAATGAGTCACCACATCTCCCCAGCGAAGCACATGCACCGCACGTCTACTTAAAAAGTGCTGACATCCTACTGGATGCTGATATTTTATTTATTAATTTAGGCGACCTTCAACCGCAGGAGGTTCAACCGCTGATCGTGAAGGCGAAGGGCAAAACGACGGTCACGCTTAAATGTTCTATGTCAGGTTGGCCGATCTACGTAAGTTTAACCTAGAACATTGAAGTAAAATGTATACAGAGGTACATGTATAAAGAGGTCAGTGATACATGCGTGGCTTCAACAAAAAAGTACTTATGATCGCCTTGAGTGACTCCTTGGTTTAAAACGGGAGTGCGGGTGCTTCGTCCGTGCTTCTACCAACGTTGGTCATCAGGGTTTTTGTGAACACTTTCAAAGAGGGTTCTGACACAGCTGCTTTTATGACCAACGGGACATTCAGACATAAGATGGAGGATAGACCTACTTTTAGTTGCTGTGCCATAAACGGCTCTTAGTCAGTTCCTCTGGTACCTGCGTTACTTGTGCACAAGTACGCTCATGGTTTAACAAAACTTCGCAAAGGATTTCATCTAATTTGTACTTGGGGGTTGTTTGATCGCATGACATTCGGTTGTGATAGTTTGATCACTCACATCCAGAAGTACCTACAATAACAAATATAGGAGATTTATTTTAGCCACCAACGGCTGTTTTTGAGAGTTTTACATTTTTAACTACTGTCACTGGTCGATAATTGCAAGTAAATTCTCTTTCAGTACTACTTCTACACGTCGGTGAAACCCACTGTGTACTACGAGAGGGGGTTTTGGGGACCTACAAACAAAACATCGACGCAGCCGCAGATCCTGTCTTTCGGTAAGTTTTCCCACTCTCTGTTGTGTCACAATCAGCCACTTTGAAATTGTCAGGGTAATTTGCACTATACCTTCCCTGTGGCGACTGCTCAATCTTTCTGGTCTTCTCCTGTAGACATCGACATAGCAGTGACGCGCATCATTGGTACAGTGACGGTGAAGCAGAACCAATCCATCGACTTCTACACCTGCAAATGCAATGATAAATGGCTGACCCATACCATAGATTGGAGTAAGTAATGCTTTCTGATAAAAGTCGGTAAATGATAATGCACCCCTAACTGGATTTTAAGGTCGCGCACTCGTGAGAAGTGCTGGCAAGGCATTGGTTCCTGCCCGCGCCCCTTACGGGCTACGCTTGGGATTTGGGAGTTTGTAAGAGTGGCTTACGGCATGCGTTTACTATGCTGCTCAGAACCCGGCGCTGACCCCTGGAATCATCCCCCCTCCCCGGCACATCAGCAAACCTCTCAGAAACGTAATTCTGATGTACTGGAATCTACCCTAATTTGTAAAGAGTCTTGGCGTGTAGGATTACCAGCTGACGGAAGAAGGGGGTTCGTCTTAGCTATACTAGTCAAGCTGTGGCAGATCCTTCTTGCTGGTAATCGTATGTCAGTCTCTGCTGCATGTTCCTCGATTCGCTCTTACCGTACTCTGTACTGTGCGTGTACTATAGACCATGTCTTGTGTTATGAGTAGGATACTTCCGGTCTTCTCACTGGCGTCATGATAGTGTGGGCGAGGGAGTGTATTAGGTGCTCATC